TTCGGGACCAAAGGCGTCAAGGTCGGCAGCTATCCGCGCTGGGAGCGGAATGGCACCGTGACACTCGTCGGCAGGTGAGCCTTTCCCGCATTTTCTTGCATCTCCGGTCCGCCGTTTGATAAGGAGCGCTCGTGGCGTGGGGGCCAAAAGACTTGTATCTGCCGATATGGAGGGGGGAGGGGGGTGGGAGGGACTAAGGCTAATCGTGCATGCAGGGACCAAGCATACATCGAGAGCCTCGTGGCTGAGGTCGAGGAGGGCGTGCAGGGCAAACCCGTCGCGCTGGAGAGGGAGGATGACGTCGCGGGAGGCAAGAAACCTCTCGAATAGGAGACGAGCAGTCGTGAGCATGCGAGGTTGGCATCACGATATTGGCGGATTTTGTAGCTCCGTGGCCATGCGCTGGCAGCGACTTGATACGAGTTTGGGAATGGGGGAGGGGGGAGGGGGGGACAAACATCTAACACTAGAACAAATGACCGTTCCGTTAACTGTCAATGTGATACGAGGACCCTGGTTTGTGGTGCTCCGTCACGTCTTGCGGCTCGTCTTTGCCCTTGCGGAAGCCAAGACTATATTAGCCTTCCAGATACATTGCGACGAATCCGGAGAAGACCAAAGCTGCGACGGGGCCCTCTCATCAGGGAAGACAGGCCGTCCTCTGTCATCTCCAATCGTCCGACTGCAACCCCGTCATCTCAGCTGCATGGCACCGTTCGTGATGTTTCTTCGGAGAAATGGACCAGGGCACGGCACCAAATTGGCGGAGCTTCTCTTTGGAGAGATCCGAAGAAAAAAGAAGATTACCATCCCCCCCCCCCCCACTGAGACGAGCTGCGACGAGAACCCGTGTCGGCGCCGCCGCCCCCCACCTCCCCTCTTACACACGCAACTTTCTCGCGGTCTGTCACCATCCGTGACATTGTCACACGCGCGGCCCCTATCATCTTGAGGAGTATCAGCAGACAGAGAAGCAATAAGGAGAAAAAAAGAAGGCGAAGACACCCCCCCGCGCGCGCGTGGTGGTTTTCTCTCAGGTGGCCGCTTATCACAACACACGTGGAGTGCGTGATTCGTCTTTCTCAGGACATCATTCATGGACCCCACGTTCGCGATTAGCAAGATGAGATGTCGTCAAAGCTCGGACATTGCTTCTCGCCCACCACAACAACGCAACCCAACTGGCCCCCCCTGGTCGATGCAGGCATTGACGATCCCCTGAGGGAGCCATTCAGCAGGCAGGTTTCGATTTCCACAACTTCTAGAAAAGACGAGGCAGTCCAGAAACGTCCCTAGCGGAGGTGATAAGCCATCGATCTGCAGATTGGAAGCGTTTCAGAAATGGCTAGCAGCGTGGGCGATGGTGTGGCATGCCTTGGACATTTTGCTGGCCCCCTCCGTCTACTACCCACCCCTCCCTTCCTGGTCATCTTCCCTTTTGAGATGAGATCAACCTTCGTGGTACCTTGGCCGTCCTTCGTGCGCGAAAAGCAAAACACACTGTGGGCTTGGAGCTTTGCTTGATTTGGGGCCTCGATCATTGCCATCAAGACTGGAACCTCGTTTCCCGTTTCCGCCCGACTGGCGACTGGAGGCTGGCAACCTCATGCCAGGACGGGGCGAGTTTTGAATTGCGCAAATGCAAATCATGGCGAGGATCAGTTCATGCCCCACCCTGGATGGTAGCATTGAATGGGGTCTCTAAGCGAGCCTCAGGCTCTGGGGTTGTGTTTCCATCGCAGTACCCATCACGGTCGTCTGGACGTCTTGAGATCGGTCTTGATAATGACACTCTGCCCTCAAGATGGGGTAACGAGCCTTTTGAGCGCATTCTGGAGCTGTCTTTGGCCGGCTCGTGCGACCTCGAAGCAGTTGTGTGCGAAAGCTACCGTGTTGGGTGTAAGGTGCGGTAAACATTCAAAGCTTGGTTAACAGGTGGGACCGCAACTTTGATCGCTACCATGGTCTCCAGCGCGGGGTTACATCCGGGTTAGTCGTCAAAACTCTGGGCTATATGTGGTCAGAAACACACAAATACCAACTGTTGTTGTGCCATACGCACTGTCGCATCAAGCGGAGCAAAGCCCTGACGTGCGCTCTCCTGCTTGTGACATGTGCTAGGATCCAGGGTGCAGCAAAGGGCGACGGTTCATGTCAGGAAGGATGATGCCGTCGTCTACCGCGTCGCAACTTTTTGTCGCGCCGCTACGGCGCTGTCTTCCCATGGGCTTTTCGCGGCGTCTTGCATATAGCGATGCTGGCTTGACTTTGATCCTCTTAAATTGTTTCTCTCCTTGTTGAGGTGACGGATTTAACCAAGATAACATGGCTCTCCGCCGCGCGTCATGGCGGTGATGCGGCGAACCTCAGAGCCTGCATCATTCAATCTCAGGCATGATAGACCGCGAAGCTTACTGCATATGACGAGGCAGCAACTGGTCATCGTCGGGCACTTGTGAAAGAAACTTTCGGCACCGTCAACAAGATACGATGGGTTCCACCAGTACTCAGCCGTACGGGGCTGTGCGTTAAGGGTTACCATCAAAGTGGTTGAGAGCTGCCTCGTTACGTCTCCCTCCACCATCTAGGAACTGTTCCAGCCCCCGAGACACCATAATGCAGACGTTTGTTCCGCTTCATCCGCCAAAAACGTCAAAATTCATAGCTGAAACATCCAGTTCTTCATATCAAAACTTAAAGACTTGGACATTGAGCGAAGAATGAACGTCTTCTGCATCCTGTCAGACCCTTCATCTTCTTGCCTGTTCATATCCCTTACTTCCAGAAGGAGCATGCGGCATGGTCTTATGCCCTTGACCTTTGATGACGGCCAGAACAGACACTCAAAAATTGAAGGGCATCCGTTCTCGAAAGCACAAAGCATCGCGCAGTCTGTGCCGCCTGGCCCGCTGTGATGGACTGAGCCGGGTCGTACCGAAGCCACAACTCGAGAACACATTGGCCCCTGCGATGGGAAACCTAAACATAAACCGAGATCAACTACCGGGCTGACAGTTGTAGCGCGGGGATGGTGCCTCAAAGCCCGAGCGGGTGTCAGCATCATCCTGCTTCAGCACACTAGTGGCGCCAGTTGCGCAATTGAGAAAAGGCAGCGGCGGTGGGGAGTAAGAAGAAACACAATTCTGGCGCCGCAGTTACAGGGCGATCCTGCACCTTGCGCCAGCATGGTGTCGTGCGTGCATCACCATCCACCCCGCCCGATTGTTAAGTCAGCTCAGGGTTGCTGTCATCTGGTGGTTGGCAAGATACGCTCGTCCCTCCCGGCAAGCTGACCACGATCCTGCTGGCTTGGCTGAAAGGAGGGGAGAGAGGAGAGACCAAAGCGCAAGACAGGCCGTAGATCGAACAAAAAAGTGTCACTACCAATGACCGGACCCGATGTGATCGGCGTGGAAGTTGCGGAAAAGAACGATAATGAGCGACGCAGAGGTTAAGACGTACGGCAAGGTGTAAGATGATGAACAGGGGGGAAGTCTCAGGGTCTGTTGTCCCGCGAATCATGCCACAGATTTCGGAAACAGAGTCTGAACTGGTGGTGATGAATAGCCGCGCCGAGGAGTGACGCGTGAGGCGACTTTCTTCACTGATCAGAATTTTGGCCTGGCCTCCTGTCACAGTCCCAGATAGACGACCACAGCTGGCTTGAGTTACATTGACGGGCGTGTCTAGCTCTAAACCTGTCGTGTCGGTACTTTTGAACATTGGCACATCTGGAGATCCCGCCAAAAGGGCCTGAGAACTGTATTGGGCTTCGGCCCCGGCGGAGTCGCAGCGTGCATGTAATGAGGGCCCCGTCAACGTGCAGGCCCGCCGCCTGGGCGACCTGGGGTACATGATGAGTGCATGTGCGAAATTACGACCGGACAAGCCAAACGGTCGTTGGCGTTTGATGCCAAACGTCAGCCAGGCCAATGAATAGGACCGGCGGGAGACCAGGGCCGTGTAAAGCACGTTTCCCCTTCGCCTCTTCTCTTTGTATTTGAGCCAGTATGATGCTCAGGCCATCCAGAGCAAACATGGTTGACGCTCGACGCAGCTACCAGGTTGATTGTTAAGTTTCTGGGGACCAGGCAGATAGAATAAAGAAAAAAAGCCTGGGATGGTATCAGCTTTACAAGCAAGCATGTGGCCTAGGTCTGGATCTGGCTTTGGAGGTTTCCAGGACCTTGGTTTGTGTGGCGGCTCTGTGTGATTTTTTTTTGGGCGTTTGCGCCAGACGAGATAACACGTTGGGGTGGATTTGTGATTTTTCATGGGACAGGTTTTTCCCCCCTGGTACAGATCAAGGTCTGCTGTCGGCTTGTTCACCTCGCCGTTGACTTCACAGTGGAAGGTCGAAGATTCAAAGCCGCAGGACCTCGGCTACTGAGTTTGACATTGGCAACGACGCGGACAATGTGCTGGTCATGCC